AAGTCAAAGGCTTGAACTATGTTCTAGATTTTAATAAAACGAGCTAGACCTAAGTCTTCCGTATAGCAAGTGATATTGAAGTTCAACAAGTGTTGGTACGTACATTTACTGTTCAAATCTCCTATCGAAGTGATATTCCAACAATATCCGCAGTGGGATGCAAGAAAGGAACGCGTTCATCACATTACATGGGTTATTTATAGACAACATTCTTTCACACTCCCGATGCGTCTACGCGGCAGCCGGTTTGTCGCGAAATGTACATGCACCTACATGCTTCTAGATCTTATGCAAACCTGTCCCACACATGCAACATACAAGCCATTGCATCTTCAAGAGGGAACAGTCGATCGCTCTCGGGGATCAAGACTAGCGTAAAACATGCCAAGTCAGACCTAAATATATAACTGTTTATAACAACTTAACCAGTCTTCTCAAATAACCATCATCTTGTTTTGCTAGACTTGAGCAACTTGAGCAGGGATAGATTGGTAAAAATTAAAACTCAAATTGCCTGATAACTGAAAGCTGGCTTATGACCTTTGAGGATGATAAGACGAACATCGGTACGTAATAAAAAAGAGGAAGCCAGGGATCCTATACTTGGTAGTCTGTCCAATACATTGGTAACTACCGAATACACGGTTGATTAAGGTGTCATTTAATTCATGGAACAATAAGTGGGCACGGCTTTTCAACTAACTTGGCTGTAAATAATTTGATTCAATTCACTTTCTGATGAAACTTCATACCATGCGATTGCATAACCATCTATCTAAATAAGAGTTCTTTTATCTCGAACGAATACAAACGCCAGCAGAAGCAAAAATCTGTTTCACAAATAAAGCATTTTGATAAAGTAGGCGATAATGATGGAGAACCCAAAAGCTGGTTGAAGAGGGCAATAAATCGATAAAGATCGGCATGCATGTGGCAAATGCCCACATACAGGGATGTTTAGTTTTCTTCCATACAATTCATCACATTTATTTGTACCTTCGCCAGTGCTTCAGAATTCGGAAGAAATATGCAACAAAAAGGTCACGTGAATTTACGGGTTCCTTTGATGCAAGTAGAATGCAAGAATCAACATTAAAATATTGGGTAAATGTTCAACATTGTGTACATGGAAAATCTTTATCATCTTTCAAACAACTACAGTAACAGTAATTTGAAGAGGTGGAGATAATTTTATATGTTAGGAAAGTAAACACCAGGAAAAATTTACTTAAGTACTTAATTTAATAATAAAACCGGCTATTTCCTGTGAATAACAACAATCTTAGTATTCTATATTTTAAATTATTAGTTAAAAATATGGAAAGGATTCTTTAAAGTTTCACTTATAGATAATCGAAAATGAATTACGACTGCATAAAAACCGTAAAGGACCCTAAATTATGCAATTCCTTATTTTTTTAATGTGAATAGGCTGAGAATGACAGAATTCCGGAAAAAGGCGAAGGAACAGTAAAATGGTCAAAAAAAAAGCATTAGCGACCATTGCTTTATTTTATTTTCTTTGAATGAAAGCACAAAGTACCACTTGATAGCAAAGTATCTTCGAAGAATTGTTGCTGATCCTCCTTTTAAATCGCCCAACTAGATTGTTTGAGCGATCAGAGGCATCGATTTCGAAGCGACCGACACACGATTGATGCCAGACTGCCAGTGCCAGCATAAAGCATAGCATCAATCGTGGACCAGCACCGAAGAGCCGACTGTTTGCGCACGTACGCACTCGGAAACCAAAAAACGAACCAAAAGGAACAACATGTTACAATCTTTATGAGCACCACACGCAACCATACTCAATACATGTTTCTAAAGTCGTTCGTGATCGCCGATCATGTGGTTCTAAAATAATGAGTCGTATCACAAAAATTAAGTGACCTTTGATTTCGGTAATTTCGGTAAAAATTCCGAAGAAAACAAGTGAAACGTCAAAAATAATAATAATGTGCTGGTAAAATAAATAGTTTATTAACATATTACAAATCCACGCATTGCTGACTTGATACACAGTACTATCATAGAGGTAACTCTAAGACGTGCTCAGCTTTTTGGCTCAGCTCTGGTACTCTCTTCGGTCCCAAGCTAATCGATGCACCCCTCGAAACATAGGAAAATCCGCGAACCCCTCATTTTATCTGTCAAAATTTCATGGCGAATCAAAACAAACATTGTGTAGTACCAGAATTTCGACTAGAATGGGGTACGTTAATCGGTTTGCTTGGGACCAATAGGCTAGTCAAGTAGTGAGCCAATTTAAAACCGTTAGTTTCCACCGGTTGGTACTATACTAGTACCACTGCTTACAAATAATCTAGTTAATTTGAATGAGTCTGATTTTTTTTAATATGACCGTTCCTAGTAATTTGTAATTCATTACTAAAATACAAAAAGTTAAGATGAACTTTATTTAATTGCACTGTACGACAAACTGGTTTTTTTTTTATTCTAGGACACAAAACTTTAACTATATGTGACTTTACTGTGGTCCCTTGAGTAAAATTCTAGAATATACTGAGATATATTGACCAAAAGCGAAGACAACCCATTAAAAAGATTGGCAACTCTTCCATTTTCTCATACGACCGCTATGAGACCGACACAATCGCTTCATTTGTCACGCAAAGGTAAATGCTTCGATAGATATGATAGCTAAAATTCCAACCTCAGAAGAAAGCTTTGTGTATTTGCTCATTTTCCTTTGCAGTACTTCCACCTTCACTCGAGCGCTGCGCTACTGTACCTGTTGCTTGGATTCTGGCAGAGTTGCCAGTCTTCTTGATTTGATGTCTTCGGTAAAAGTCTAGAAAATACTTATGCTCTAACAAGTCGCGTTTTTTAGTTTCCGCCCCCTTTGTGCATTGAAATGTTATTCAGTAACAGTATAAATATGTCCAATAATTAGACAGTGCCTTCAGTACGCGGAGCACGCACGACCGTCGCTGGTCTCATACGCAGTCTCACAAAGAGAGTAGTATCTAAAAACCGTGACAGTAAAATATGGTCAAATTTAGGTGTTCTAGAAAGTTGTGTTGCACAGTGTAATTTTTATATATATATTGCTCTAATTAAACTATTTTTTTTTAATATTTTGCAAATCATTTTTGTAATATTAAAACGATAAAATGCTCCTTAAACCTTGGAATAATGTTCCTATACTGCGTATCTACTCAGATTCACTATCCTGCCCATGTTTATTTGAGTCAGAGGAACGTCTAGAATAAGCTTCTAAGGAAAAAGCTTCTACAAGCTTATTTAGGAATCTCATTCTAGATTCTATAAAAAATAAAAAAAATTAGATTTTACCTCTCAGAATTCCATGAAACTTTGCATAAATGTTCACCCTCACACGGTAAAGCAGCCGAGAGCATCTTTTAAATATCGAGTTGATTAAACCATGCAGACTGATACCATCCAGATCGAGTTGTTGTTGTAACCATTCAAACCCGGCGACAGCGACAACGACGACAAGCGTCATATAACACACGAAGAGCAAGCAATGCAAATCCAAAACTTGTTATTATGAAAGGGCCTGGGACTGAACCCACAATCTTCTGCTCAATAAGCAAAAACTTATGATCGAGTTGTTGCTACATATAACAATTAAAATCCGACGATGGCGCCCTTTACTCCACGACAAGCCACTGCGACCGACGATCTTTCATGCCCGGAGACATGAAGCTACAGAAAAAAACGTAGGACTTAACTAAATTCTACATTCACGTGATGTATCGATTTGGTACTGGGAAACAGAGCTTTAAATACCTCCTAATTCGTCGTATTTTTTTTTTCTTTATCTTTATATTTTTCTGATGTTTTGAAACTAAATTTGGTCACAATTTTAAAGCACAGCATCAAAACTACGGGAAGAAAAAAAAAAAGAATCGCATGAGAATAAATATTGTGGTCAACTTTTTTCGAACACAGCGTAAAACAAAAAGTCAAAGTCATCACATATACAAATCCTGTGCTATTGAGGCTATTAGTAGCAGAAGGGAATCAATAACAATGTTAATAAATGTATTAGAATATGTTGTACTTTGAACAACTAAATCAATTTCCTACAAAAAAATCTTCAACAGTAACAACGCCACATGCTTCGGCAGTATACAACTGCAATCATACAAACATACCAACAGTCATAAAGAGGGCGATTCCTAAAAAACGTGACGTGATAAAGCATAAGTCTACTCTGCAGTTTAACTCAAGGGGACAACATGAAAGTCAAATATGGCCAAATTTGTTTATTCTAGAACAAAAAGATCAAGATTGTTGCACAGTGTTATGGACGTCAAGTTTTTTAAACAAAATATCTGATGTTTGCCAAACTGTTAGACCGAAATCCACTAGTAGTTAATCGATGATTATGGATGGTATACTACGGTAGCGCACTTGCTGCTGCGTGGAGGATCACCCATACTAACTTTGAGTTAGTTCCGTTGAGCGGCCTCTTAACATCAATGTACCAACTTCAAATTTTAGTATGTTTGGTTTCAAACCAAATCGAACATTTTAAGAGGCTGCCATATCATTATTCATTTTCGGGAAATAAGGGTTGGTCTAGCTTGAACATTTCTTGATAACATAAATTCCACGGAATCGGGAAACCTTATCTGCTTTATGTGCAACTAATACATAAATCCATACGCTGACACTGAAAATAATACTTTTGAACCCTATTCATGGTTCTCTGCTTCACATACCAGTAAACGTATATGTGAATTGATCAACACATTATCGTGAAAACTAAAAAAAAACTATTATAAAAGTTTATGGTTTAATCTAAAAGTTCCTAAGTATTAGAATCCAGCCGACAATTCATCCTGATGAGCTCTCCACAAATTAGCGTGTGTTTCTTACTGTGCCCATCGCGCGCCTCGTGGCGGCGCTCGATGTGTAGATGTGTGGCTTGTTGACCGGTGTGTTGTGTTGAACATATTTTTTTCCGAAACTTTATTTTTAGAATATTCGTCCGGTGGACCCGATGGAGTTCAGTTATGCTTTGATAGTCGTACAGAAACGTTGTCTCTGTTGGAACGCTTCTTCACGTTAAGTCTCGCGCGCGCATTTCTGAATTTTATTTGGCTTTTATTGACTTTCAACTTCTTGACGACGCCGGTTCATGTTGAAACAGTTTCTGTGTTTTCTGTGAGAAGTTTGCTTTTTGCAAAATTTGGAATTTCGGTACGCGTCTGGAGCGCTGCTATCTGATATTTGCGCTTTTTTTTTGGTACTGATATATTGTGTGTAAGTAATTTTATCTACACATGAAGTAAGTTTTTTTTTGCGGTGGTGTACGAAAAAAAAATCTGGCGCTAATTTAATTCGCTATACACGTATCGCAATTTTGGTAATGTGTTTTAGTAGCGATCGGACGATAATTAAGTATCGAAAAAAAAGTGGTTCAACTTGTTTAAACTGTGTGAGTGTGCTCTGAAGCCACCGAAAAAGACGAAGAGAGCTGGAACACGTTTCTACTAGTGGAAGGCAGTGACTGAAAATTAACATATTTGTTATTCGATTCAGTGGTTTAGTATCTGACAAGGAATCGGTTTCACAAACGAGTCTGTATTCAGTTAGTTAGTGACGTGTGAGATTTCCGTAAAACTGCGTGATTAACGTCGTCATCAAAAGCGCCGGCCTACGCACATGTGTTTATCGACAGCTCAAAGGTTCCATTCATAAAAAAAAAGATCCTCGAGCCATCAATTGGATAATCCAGCTTAATAGTGGGTGCCTTCGTGAAAAGCTTGAAAGGTAATAATGCGTACAATTGCACTTTACATACTGGACATGGTGAACATATTTTTTTTTCGCTTGTTCGTACACTTCAGTAGACTCGGCAATAATGGCTCTTTTTGAATAGTAATTAAGCAATAAATAGAAATCTGGGATCCTACTAGCTAGCCGGTTTTGGATTTTGCTTTCCTTTTACGAGTTCTTTCTTGGATGATGTACTGCCACTCATTCACTGGAAATTGAATTTCATATATTATGGCTTATTGAAGATCAATGGGTAATTAATTGATAATTAAATTCACTTAGCTAGTTACTCGACGAGTCTTGTTGGTTTGACGCTTCTGTAGCGAGCGTTTTGTCTGTTCTCAACTGAGTGTGTTATAGATTCACTTCCACAATTATTAATTGAGAGCTTTCTATGCCAACCAATGCATGAATTTGTAGTACATATATTGAAAATAACCAACAAGTGTTTCCATCGATTATTTGCCAAATTCGCTGAAGGAAGGTGGCAACATATATTTCGAGTGAAAAATGCATCCTTCGACATTTGTATTGTCATAATTTGTTTAAAAACCTAATTACAGATATTCAAAGCCTATCAGTGTGAATTTTGGAAAATGTTGTAACTTTATGTGAAGTTTCAGTATACAAAATTTGAAAAAAAAAAATATTGAGCTAAGTACCTACAAATTATACCTTATTACGTTGTTTTTTTTTATTTTCCTTTTAACTCAAGTACTATTGTATCACTTTCACTAGTCACTATTTACTTTCTCTATCACTTTTCAAAAACTATAACAGATACGTATTTCGTTTACTACTTGCAAACTTCTTCAGTGCCTAGTCATAGACTTTGCAAGTTTGCAAGTAGTAAACGAAGTATGTATCTGTTATAGTTTTTTAAACGTGATAGTGAAAGTGAATAGTGAATAGTTAAAGTGATGCAACAGTAGTAGAATTGAAAGGAAAAACAACGAATAAGGTATAAAATTATCCTACTAAAACGCTCATCAATCAATTTTAGATTTCATACCTTTCAAATCAACTTAAGAGAATGAAAATTGGACGTAAAATGGTAGAGATATGAACAATAATAATTTGCATGTTTTTTTAGGGGTGACCGCAAACTTTTGATTGGGAGTGTAAAGATACTTAGCTGTAGCATTTATGGGACGCTACACTTCAAAGAAAAATATAAGCTATAATTAAATTTTTGAATAAAAGATAAAAGATGTCTATGGATGTCTATTGTACTTTGAAATTCTACCAAAAATAAATGTCTCTACCAATTGGGTAAGCCCTCTATGCCCAGAGAAGTCAAACAAACTTTCAACATGAAAGATTTTCTCGAACGGGCCGGGAATCGAACCCGCCGTCTCCGACTTGGTAATACCGTGCCTTACCGTACTGTCTAAGGCCATTGAACCATCGAATTGTACGACAAAACGATTATTTTTCGATATTCAATTTCATCTAATAATTATGTGCGCGATATCTTCATAAAACTTCTACTACAATATCGGTTGATTAGATTAACTCAACGAACAATAAAATAATAATAGGAAATTGGTATTAAATTTTTCAACGCTAATTTAAAGGATGTACATACAAAATAAATGGTCACACAAATTTCATAAATAAAGTTCATAAAATGAAGCCTCTGATCTCAGATTTCGATGAAAAAAAATAGTAGAATTTCATTTAGTTTTCGCGAAATGCCGTTGAAAAATCAAAATATGTGCTTAAACTTAAATCATTGAACTCCAATGTTTGAGTGATTAAAAATTAATGCCAAAGCTTCCGGAAACTAGTTTCCATTAACTTGATTCACTTGGTGACCATATGATTGAGCTAAAAAAATTATTATTTAAAGTTCAATTAGGCCGGCACAAACATAAAGTTTTACCACAAACGAAGTGACAGACGGAGCGGCTCGAAAACTTTGGTGACGCACCTGCTATTGCAATTTTTCAGTGTACCACATGGCAACACCACTACTACTGGATTTTACCACATGGCAACACTACTAATGGATTGTACCACATGGCAACACTAAATTTACTAGAATGTTTTGGTTCTATCTCTTTCACTCTACTCTAAACTGAAATGCATAAAAAAATGACAAAATGATACACTCTTTGCATACTGTCAAAAATCATATTGCACACAAAATCAATTATGTTCAAATCAAAACAAAAATACTAGCCCATCTGGTGGCTGATGGCACAAGCTTCTAAGAAAATTCTATTACAGCGAACCACATTATTTTAATTTGATTTCTTCGCCAGTTAGTCGTCTGTCACTTCGTTTGTGGTTTTACTTTTATCACTATTGAATGAAGATCGAAGTGGGCTGTACGGACGCGAAAAATGTCAAATTTTCGGTTTTATGTTTTCTGGAATTGTTTTTTTCTTCGCGTTTTAGGTCGAAACAATGTGCCACTCAGAGTTGGCAAAATCATCTATCAAATGATATTTTTCCGCTCTCATACGCTCTCAATAACACGTGTGATATTTGAACAAAATATTATGCTTGATATTGACGGAAGCAGACCACTCTCGATGTGAGTCACGCGATCGTCTGTTTACTCGGCAGCAACCATTGTGTGGTCCTCCTCATTGTTCTTTAAAAGCAGTTCTTTCGGTCGATGCGTCGTCTTTTTTGGAAAGCAACCGTTTCGTGATGAGTGTGTGAGTGATGGTCACGTTTGACATCCATTGCTGAAATGAAAGCGCTCTGTCCACCGTTGGCGATACTGCCATACAATGAAATCACTGGAAGCGGATCCCGCGGAGGAGGAGGCTTATTGGATAGCGGAAGATAAAGTATTTATTGTGTTGTACCTTTTGACTATACTTTTAAGATGTTTTGTATAGTGAACAGGAATCCTCGGTTCTGTAAAGTTAATTCGATTGAGCCTTATCAAATAAACTAATAAAAAAAAATGATTTTACAAGCTCGCAATATCAAGCGAGACTATTCATAACATTTAAACATGAAGCGGAGAGTTGATTCGACCCAAAATTGGTTCCGTTGCACATCGTTTTATTAGAAAGAGAAAGTATAGTTTACTATCTCTCTTTACTTTTCACCGATGGCAGACACGAAGCTACTGCTGCCAGTAATGACGGTGATTTAGGGCTGCGTTCGGATGTAAAGCAAAAAGCATGAAACTCAAACTCACCACGGTTTGGTTAGAATTGTAGCTGGTAAGTTTTGTTAGCTTGATATTCGTAGCTACGATATCGCAGCTTGAAATATCATCCGTAGTTGCTTGCTTGCTGATTTTTATCAGTGAAAATCAAGCGTGATCTTGGGCATTGGTGAGATTTATTATTTTTTAATATTTTCGTGACATTGGTGCCACTCGATAACATAGTTCTAGAAAACAACTTTAGTGCAAGTGATCGCGTGAAATGAATTCCAAAGTGTTTTTTTTTATCAACATGCTTTTCGTCAGAACTATTATTAGGCGATTGACAGGCTTGCCCGATGAATTTGATTGGAGGCGGCACTTGGTGTCTTTAGCAAATGTTCATAAAATCAACTGTTCTGTAACTTTGTTCCATACATGAATCCGTTATCTTGCAAATGGATAAAGTTAGCATTTGGTTGTGTAATACTAGCTTAATCATGCGACATCATTTTAAACAACTTTTCCGAATACACCTAGTCTCTAAAACGGCAAACAAGGTAGAAAATGTGTTTGACCGCCTTTATTCAGATTTGTGCCACTTTGTTTGTCTGGAGTCTTGAAATGATCCGCTGGTCCTTGTATTTGTGGCTGTCCAGACACGGTCAAACGGTTTCCTTGATCTTCCCAGGAAAGTGGCCCGTGGCTGGAACCATTCCTGCTTCCAGGCTTCCATGATCCGGAACCAGATGATTCAGATCTCGCCAGTCTGTTCACAGCCCCGTCTCCGGGAACACCGCAGTGTCCGGGAATCCACGTAAAGACAGTTGAAGATGTAACCATGTAATGGCTTGTATCCAGGTGTGGTGGGGACCGGATGATCCAGATCCCTCCAGTCTGTTCACAGTCTCGTTTCCGGGAACACCGCAGTGTCCGGGAATCCACGTAAAGACAGTTGAAGGTGGGACATACCACGTAATGGCTTGTATCCAGGGGTGGCTCGGTGCTTCGGCTTCCAGCGCCTGGATGACGCTGTGTGAGTCCATTAGCACGAGGTTGATCTGCTGGAGTGATGGTTGCATCAAGAATAGCTTTATAAATAACAATACAACGGAACGTACTCGTTTCATCCATTTATTGGATTCTGAAGCAACTTGTTTAAATATTTGATTTAAACAGGCCAGAGGTTTCTGAATAATCTTGCCCCTTAAATGCTGCACATCTCTGAAGTGTAACATATACCAAGAAGACAAGAAAAATTATGGTGGTATATCTATAATTTACCAGGATGTTTTCATGAACTGGCTGTGTTGGTGTTAGATTAGATTAGATTGGATTTTCACTACGTCTCAATTTATTTATTTATTTATTTATCGTCAATGAAGAGGAGACCGTTTTGATACAATTATAATCACATTTTATGTTTTACTTCTAAACAATATTATATCCAAAAAACTAGGCTAAACAAAGTATTGCTTCTATTTGGCTTTTGTAAAGTCAATATTTTCACTATGATTATTGTATCTTGCCATCATCTGATTCAAAGATCAAATTTAGCATAGTTTGTACGATGGTGGCTTGTAATAAAAATATTTCGATTTCACAGTTGCCGTAAAAAGTAAAATTTTAATATTGATAAAAGTGTTATGGAATCAATGCGATGCGAAACGATATCGTTTACAAATGAGACCATTACACCAATTCACGGCGCTCTTTCAATTGGATGCTGATGAGCATTCAACGGGCTTCATATGATGGAAGAGGATATCTTGTCCAGCCTAATTTTCGAAGTGCAAACAATAAAAATAGTTTTTTTGTACTGATTCTATTCGTTCTTCGTGCGTCACAATTGAATGTGCCAAAGTAACCAACAAGGAAGTCA